CTTGACAGCAGGCATGGCATGGAAATCAAGCCTGGTACTGGAAACGTGGCTAACTACTCAATGCTAGTGAAGTCAAGGTGATTGGAGAAGAATCTACAAGCCCTAATTTACTAAACCAGCATCATCCTTAACAACAATGTATAAACATTTGTCCTTATACACATATCATCAAGGAAACTTCTCTTTTCAACAGATGGAGACCACTACAGAAAACAACAACCAATCAAAATGCACAGTTGTGGAGCCCCAGTCCTAATAGATACAATTACAAAACACTCTTGCATCTGCAGCTCTGGGAACACTGTAGAGGAGGAGGTCAGAAAGATTGTAACAGCTAGAGGAACAGGGAGTTTGCTATGAGCTTGTCTCCTAATAATATCAGAAGCGACACCCACAATGGCTCATCAGCATGAAGGCCCAAACATGAGCTGGACAAGGAGGACACCAAAGGACATGACAAGGTGGATGGAGAAAAGCCCAGGAGGTCTCAACCTTCCACAAAGAACTATAGGCAACTGAGGAGAGCTGGCAGTGGAAGAGGTCTTCGCCAAGAAGGACACATCAATTGGTTGTGTAACACCAAACAGCTCTGAAACACATGCATACAAGCAACATTATGTGGACTTAGCATGTTATATTTATGAACACATATGTATGTGCATATACATATGTGCATGCAGTAACAATTAGTGAAAAGAGAAGCCATGAATTTGAAGGGGGGAATAACAGGGAGGGCTTGGGAAGAAGAAAGGGAAGGAAGAAATGTAACAAAACATAAAGAGCCCCCCCCCACCCCTATGGAGAAGCTAACTGGTTGATGGCTTCTGAGTGAAGGAGAGTTCATTTTCTTTAAGGGTGTGGCTCTGGTAGGCTGCCCATGCTCAAGTGGATGGTCCCACACCAGTCAGTATATTAGCATCAGATTAGAATCTGTGGGGAGGAGTTCAGGTGACTATGATAAAATATGTCATATGCAAGCATGGACTTCTTAAAGGAATTAATAAAACAATGTAACAAAAACAGACTGGAGAAATAGTTCGTATAAGACAGAAACTTCTCAGGAGTAACATCTAATGGGGTCTTGCCCTCTGGCCTCCATGCATAAATGAAAAACATGTACATGTGTGCCTGTAGATCTTCTTTCCCTGTCATTTGGGTCATGATCCTGGTGGCTATGATGTCCACATATCACATCAAGCATCCTAATAAGGGCTCCGTAGCTGTATCACGATATAATAAAAAAGTAGAAGGGAAACCAGAAGAATAATCAGGTTTCTGGAAGCATAATTTTATATGGTAAACAATTCTTTAGGTGTGAATTTCTATTTGTTTTTTATACATGGTTTTATGCAGCCAAGGATCCATTTTCATAGCAATGAGGTAGACTATTCCCACTATTCACCAACATTTCATGAGTCATCCCACAAGGCCTAGCACAAGGGGTGGTTGCCTTATGTTTTGAGGGACGTATCCATTAAACCTATTGTGTCAAAAAACAAAAACAAGACATGAGAGTAAGATGCAAACTTGGTGGGGGAGGAGGAACAAGTAGGAGGACAAGAGCAGGTGGAGGAACGAGCACAACCAGAGTATCACATCCATGTATGAAACTGTCAAAGAATAAGTTCATTTGAGGAAATGACATAAATGGACTCACCCAGCATCAACCTCTTGTGTCTGGCTCGACTTACCATTGTTCACTGTGTACCACACACAAATTGTTCAGACCATCATCAGTTAATGGTCATTGTGGTTGTTTTGACTTTTGGTAGACTGTGAAAAAGAAGACGCTACATATACTTTTAAACAGGTCCTGGGAGGGAGCTCTTGAGTACGCATTTCTTGGACTTGAATCACTGGGGGACAAGTAGAACAAAGTCCCCCTACAAACTCTAGATCTCCAGAACTTGTGAATGGAAGTTACAAGGCCAAGGAGAATTGGGGTTGATAAAGGCCACTGACCAGGCATCCCAAGAGAATCGACGGGTCTTTGAGAGGGAAAGGAAGAGAGAAAAGTCAGATTCATACCACGAGATAATCTGCTTAGCCAGTGTTCAGGATGTAGGGAGAAAACAACAGTCAAGGAATGCAGGAACCTCTGGAGACTAGAAAGACAAAGCCGGGTTGCAAAGTGCTGTTAGGACATAGATGTGTGGAACACAAGCCAGTGGAGTCCTGGATTGCCAAACTGCCCCTAAACTTCCCTGCCTCTCATCTGCCCCTGAAATGCATCTCAGTCCTACCTGTGTGCTTTTAGTTTGATATCAACAGTCTTTTTTTTCTTCCTTGTTCATTCTTCCCACAGGTTCCTAAACCTTTTAAAACAAGAACTTTATTTTTCTATCTCAGTTCCTGATCTTTCATTATTTTTCTTCCTTCTTGAAATAAATTGGTTTTTCAGCCATTCCCTTAGTACATATCATCAAGACTATAAACTTCACCCTAAAATAGTTTTGGCTTCCCCTTAAGTTACAGATTTACATTACCATTCAGTTCAAAATGTTCTCAATACCCCTTTCTTCTCCAATCTCTGCATTATTTAGAAGTGTGTTCTTAATTTTCAAACATACAGAAATCTCTACTATCTTTTTGTTGACATCTTATTGAATTATGACCAGAGAACATAATCTGTTTCACTTAACTTCTTTAAAGAGACTGAAGCTTGCCTTACAGCCAAGTACACAAGCATATACCACAGCTTCTACTTCCTCACCCACGATGGGGTGGGCTTTTCCATGACTCTGTCTTTCTGGCACTTGCTCCTCTATGTATTGAAAGGTGTTCATGTCTCCCTAGGGAAAGCCACAAAATGAACTTTTGTATTCTAATCTCCCCCAACCTTACTAAAGTCTGGTCTTCTTGATCGCTCATATATAAGAGGTATGCTAAAAATCTCCCACTAAAATCTACAATGTCTATCTCTCCAAATACCTGATATTTGCACAAGAAAAACCTAAAAAAAAATTAAATTGAACCACAAAGGACCCTAAATAGTCAAAGCCATCTTGAGCAGAAGCAACAAAGCTGGATACATCACAAATACTAGACTCCAAAACATAACAAAAACAGACCAATGGAGCAGAATAAAGAAACCAGAAGTAACTCAGGTCATTATGGATGACTGTTTTTTTTTTTTTTTTAATTTTAAACAAAGGCAGCAAGAATAGATACTGGAGAAGAAACTGTCTCTTCAAAAGTAGTTCTGGGGCAGCTGGGAGGCACGGGGGTGTAAGGTGCTTGCCACCAAGCCCAACAGCCTGAGTAAGACCCCTGGGACCAACACAATGGGAGAAGAACTGACTCCCATAAGCTGACCTCTGACCTCCACACAGTCACTACAGCACAGGCCCACCACCCCTCACACCCATAAGTAGTTTTTTTCTTCAAATAGTATTGAGAAAACTATGCATCTGCATGGAAGAGAAAAAAACAACCGAGGCACCTATCACTCACTATATATATTGATGAGGGGGATTAGGATGGATTAAATTTTATTTGTGAGTCCTGCCTTTGTATTCTTGCTTGTTCAGCTAAATCCCCCTTCTCCTTGTCTTGAAAAAACAGACACTTAATAGTTTCTTTAACTTTATCAGCTCCGCTTCTATAAAAAAATGCTGCTACAGGGAACTCTTGCTGGCCCCAGGCTCATAGGCAGATTCAAATGGACAAGAATAAAAGTATTTTTCAACCTATAAAAACTGAGACCTGAGGCTTGCGGCCTGACTACTTGGAGTGGATGACACTTGACTTCTCCAACTCTAGGTGTGTGTGCTCATCTTCCTGCCCTTTTGCTTTCTGTAACAATATAAAAATCAACTCAAAAATAGAAAAAGACTTAACCTGAAACATGAAACCATTTGAAGAAATTTTATGGGAATCAATTGAGGGCATCGATCTGGGCAAAGACTGTTTGGATAAGACACCAAAAGCACAGGCAGCAAAAGTAAAAATGAACAAATAAGATTATGCCAAACTAAAAACCTTTGACAGAGCAAATGAAACAGATGTAAGAGAACTGTAGCACAAGAGAAAGTATTGTAAACTGCTCATTCAAAAATGACTAAACTATAAAGGCCAAAAACACTCTACAGAAAAAAAATCCAATTATAAAACAGACAAAAAAAATGAACACACAGACCTCAAAGCAATATAAATGGCCAGTCAGTATATAAGAACTGTGTCATAACCACAATGAGATCTCACTCCAGTTAGAATGGTGATCATCACTAAAAAAATGTTAGTGATGATATAGGTAGTTTACAATGACAATCATCAAATTAATAAGTGTTGGTGAAAATGTAGAGAAAGAGTAACTTTCATATACTATTGATGAAAATATAAATGAGTATAATCATTATGAAAACAACTTCCTAAAAAAATAACAGAAATAGAACTATATTATGATCTGGTAGTTCCATTACTAGGAATATGGCCAGTAGAAAAGACATCAGTATACCAAAGACACATGTGTAGTCCCAGGTTTAATGCAGCATTATTCCCAACACTCTAGATAGATATGGACTTAGTCAGGAGCCTATCAATGAATGAACAGAGGGACAATGCAGTACAGGTATACACAATGGGATGCCATTCAGTCATCAGAGTCAAGCATAGAAAGACAAATACAGCATGTTCTTTCTCACATGTGTGGTCTCAGAAGAGTAAGAAAAGAACAGTGATTAGGAGAGGCTGAGAAGGTTATAGGGAAGGTGGAGATACAAAGTGCAGGGGTGAAACTGGATAGGACGGATTTTCTAATATTCTACAATACAGTATAGAAAGTATGGCTGATAAAAATACATATATTTAATAGTAGAGAGGTCTCTAAACATTCTTTACACAAAATGGCTATTTAGTTGATGAGTATGCCAATTAACTTGATTTGACCACACATATTATAGGAAAGTAATGAAATACCATGTTCTACTGCATCAAAGTGTAAATTATGTATCAATCAAAAAGAAAAAATTAAGCAATTTAAACACATTTTAGGAAATATGTAGATTTGTCAAGAATATCAATTTTATTCAGAATACAGGATATTCAAGTACAAAAGAATGAAAACATATATACGTATAATCATTAGAAAAGATAAACATTGCTCTAGGACTATTAAGGCACTGAATGGAAAAATCTCCTGAACTGTGAAGTGTCAAGTTTTTAATATATTTAAGATTCAGATGCTCTGATACAATTTCCAGGTTTCTTTCAACTTGCTTAGTCCCTGAAAGGCAGCATTTAAAAAAATATTTATGATATAGGAAAATAATGATAATCCAGCTTCAAATGTTTTAACTTTTCAAATTTTTATCAAGCAATACACAAGGCACATACAAGGTTATACAGTTTGACATAAAACCTCAGGATATTGATAACTGAGTCACTGTATTAAATATTTTAAAGTTTTCTACTATTGATGTTAGCTTTAACTTTGTAATACACTCTGAAGTATATGCCTCCGGTGTTTTCTGTTTAATATACAACAAAAAAATAAGTTCATGACAGAATAAAAATACAATCAGATATTCGTAACATGAAGGAGTTCTGTAGTTTTAATGGCAATAACCCTTTGCTATTTAGAATACCAAACGCAGTAAAGTGACAATTTGGCAGCAGGAAAGTAGACCGAGATCCACAACAAACTAGCAACTTACAGATTCCTAACAATAAATGTGTGGGAAATGCACACTTTGACTGGCAGATCAGCCTTATATGTGAAAATATTCTTCTATAAATGTGAATAACTTTAGTCCTTTGCTAGATAACTGAGTTAGTGATAAGGCAAAAAGACCAAAACTCAAAGCATACAGATAACTTTTGATTGTGATGACATCTGTGCTCTGGAACTCTTGTTTTACATAAAACTGAAGCTGAAAAGAAAAAAATCTTTTGAATGGAACAATTTAAAAAACAACATAACCAGCAAAAATTATCAAAAGCATCAATCTCACAAAGCTTTTATAGGAAGAGCAAATAGTCAGCACATATAGGATATGTAGCTATGGGACTGTGAAAAAAACAAAAAAACAAAAAAACAGCAAGCCACATTGTCTTTAGTCCTGACCTCTTACAATCTGTGCTTGAGCTGGGGATGGGATGTAGCTCAGCTGGTAAACGGTGCACAAAGCTATGGATTAGATCCTTTAGCACTGAATAAACTAGAACCAGACATGGTGGCACACACTGTAATCCCAGCTCTTAGAGGGAAAGGAATGACTACCACAAGTTCAGCATTAGTCTCAACTACACAAAGCGTATGAAGCCACCCTAGACTATATGACTCCCCATCTCAAAAAAGGAAAAAAAAAAAAAAAAAAGCCTGCAATAAAGCTCAGCAGTAAGAGTGCCACCTACCGTAAGGGAAGCTGTAGGCTCAATCCCAAGTATCAGGATACAAGGGAAGAAAGAAAAAAGAATATATGTGTTTGTCTGACTTTGTAAACAATAGCATGACTCTGAAGGAGAATGACAGCTTTCATTGGGAGAAATATATGAGAAAATTGGGGGATCTTATTTTGTTAAACTAGATTACAATGAAGGAATAATAAAGTAAAAAGAGCTCTTTTGAATTCAAAGCATGGTAAAAATAGTAATAACTTGAATTTATAATTTATATCTTAAATCCAATACTGCATTCAAAACACATCTATTTTATACATTCTTTCTTTCAACAAATAATTACACAAAATGTAGGCACTGAGTTCACAGAAGCAGGAGTCTTGTTCTGTGAGGGACACAGGGAACATCGTCCTCCTATGACAGGGGCCAGTGGAGCAGAAGACCCACAATGAACAAAGCATGGAAGGTTTCTTGACAGTAAAAACAGTGAAGTGGACAAAGGATATGTAAAGTAGGAAGAATAAAACAAGGGATACAGAGTACAGAATGAAATTATCAAAAAGGAAAATAAACTTATTTTCAAAAACTGGTAACTGTAACACATATCCTAAATCTATAAGCTTAGATTATCATCCAATCGCTATTCAAGCCACCCCCTTGAGCTGTGGCCCTCTCTCCCTTCCTCTGCATCTTTATGTCCATCACTGATTTCAACAGCTCTGACTTCAAAGCACAGGAGTGCCAGCTGATAGCCTGATTCTCTTATTAAAATAAAAAATCTCACAAAAGTCAGTGATCAGTAAAATTAGTCTTTTAAAATGAGCCTAAGAATTAAGTTTTATTAATAAGATATTTAATTCTGTGATTCTCCATCAAATGCAGTTTCCAGGGAGACATAAAATACCAAATAACTTGTGATATCAGCTGTGTACCAGAACCGTGGCAGGGCTGTGAAATAACAGAAACCACCTGAGCTTCACATATGCAAGTGTCTTACTCTGTTCATTCCTTAATTCTGGTAAACACGAAGACCTAGGACATGCGAGGTGATTCCACCTGCCGAGAGGACAGTGAAGAACAAGGAGAAGGCCTCTGTTCTAAAGCTGCTCTAGTGCTGGCAGCAGGAGGCAGACAAGGAGGAAGGAAGGGGGAAAGAAGAGCAAACAGAGTTAGCCAAAGGGGAGGGGCAGGGCCACAGGAACAGGGTAGCAGGACTCTTACTTCTTTCGGTCTTTGTCCTTCTTAATGCTGCTACTTGATGCCATAAATGACTGGCTCTGGAACAGATCACAGGTAGTCTTCTTCTTAGAGAAAGATATTGATTCTTCCTCCAAAATTCTCCTCTTTTCTTCAAGTTTCATTCTCTCTTCCTGGTGAATTCTTTTAAGGTGCTCAAATTTGGCCTGAAGCTGTGAAACAAAGCACAATTCCCATAACTGACACTATGTGGCAGCACACACACAGGAGTGGTTTCCATCTTAGCACCACAGTACCCTCCCAGTCCCTCATCCTACTCATCTATACCACTACCCATGCTTCCAGTAAAAGCCTTCAACTGCCACGGGAACTTTAAGAGAGTTCCTTTATGTGATTGAGACAAATACATAAAAAGCCATTGCCTCTGGAGCAAAACTTTTGACTGTTTGCTAACATTTTTATGTCCTTGCCTTGCCTTGCCTTGCCTTACATTTTATTCATAAAGCCTATTTAAGAAAGATCCTAAAAATCATGCTCAATAAAATAAGAGACTCAAAAGTACAGAAGAAAATTGCCAAGGACCTCACTGTTACCTCACTGATTCATTGTCCTTCCCCTTACAAATGGGAATCAGAACTACCTTCTCTTCAACAGACACCCTATGGGATGCATTCAAAACATTAGGGTAAGTTTGACCTAGATACACTTAAAAGCTAGGGGACAGAGAAACCTGACCCCTGAATAGTATCCTAACATCTACAGCATCCTGCAGCTAGGTCCACTCTGCAGATGAAAAGGTAAATGAGAAGTTCCCTATGACCAGGCTGTTTTTCTCCCAAGGAACAACCTCAACTTCTATAAAAGCTATAAACCAGATCCCATTTCTGGGAACAGCTTGTTTTAACATATACTTGACAACGATTCAAAGTTCTATAGAGAATAAATATAAGTACAACCTGACCCTATTATAACATAGAAACCATTAGACAATTTTAAGTTTGAAAATGTCAGAGGGTGACTCTTCAAAACAAGCATTTCCTCTCTGGTAGTTTTATTTCTGGGTAAAAGAACAATTGATCTGAGAGGAGAGAGAACTTTCTGTCTCCTGTCAATACCCACTCCAGGACACAATGCAGCACACAACAGTGGTTCATCTGGTCAAGTTTATGTGTGTTATAAGGAAGACAACCATGCTGAGTCCTGTCTAGCCCACATCTCCTTCCTCTTTCCTTCCTCCTCCAGGAAAAAGTAACCATTGCTATCTACCCCAAATTCTTATCTCACACTATAGTTAAAGACTTTGCTCTCTGTGTACTTTCTTTCCTGCTCATACAAGATAGTTTATGGGCCAAGGCCACTGGAAGCTCTGCTTTCTTGGCCAGCTCTTGTTTGAATGTTAACATTTCAAAACTCTCCAACTCATGTGAAACCAAGGGAACAAAGAGGGAAAGAGTCTTGAAAAGAACCCAATGGCAACAGTCTCCTGGGTCTTACAACAAAAACTATAGTTTTATGGCTAGGTAACTTTAGATCACATCATCCTATGGTTGTAATTTGGTAAATGTTTTCATTTTTTCCTTTCTTTATGTCATTAAGTGACATAAAAAGGAACCAATAAGCAAGAGAGAGAAAAAAACATAAAAAGGATGTTACCTGCAAACATAAAAAGGATGTTATCTGCGAGGTTTGTGAAAGATGAAACTTAACAATGGAACATGTATAATGAGTAAAGGTTATGATAATTCCCGAGGCAAAAATCAACATTGATATAAAAACTCTATTTTAATCAAAGGGGTCCTCTTAGGACACTGATCATCTCTTGGTAACATTTATAAAAACTGACAAAGAAAAAGTTATGTTTAGCCAACAGAATTATATTCTCTTCTGTTTGTTAAAAATCTGTTTTGTCTAAAGTCTGTCTGTTACACAAAAGTTAAAACTCAAATCTATCACCCACTCTGTAAGAAAGGTGAAACATCCTCTGGGTTTATCAAAAACCATAGCCTGGAGGCCTAAGTCAATAAGGATAAGAAGGCTAAAAATACAGGCAAAATGTTGACTCTTGTCCTCTTAGGGTCAGGCAAGACCTAGGAGGCAAAGGGACCCTTCTAAAAGAGCCCTACTACTCTGATAAGCAGGAAGAACCCAGAGACTGGAAACTAACCAGCCCCATCCTGCAAAGAGAATCATTGTAGAAGGAGACATCCCTTCTTAGGGAAGCCACAAGGTTAGCAAGACCCTGGCCCATTCTTATGGACAAAGTTCATGCAACCGGTAGAAGAAACATTACAAAAGCCAAGATGTTCCTCTTAAGTTCCCAAGAGTAATCCCCAGAGTCTTGACTGACTTTAGCACTAAAGAAGGTTAAATTTTGGCTACCTACCCAGTCATAAACACACAACAGAAAATATAACCAGAAACAATAAACCAATTCTACCAATCCCAATCAGGATTCCTGGATATATACAGTTCAGCTGCAACTGCCCCTGCTCAGTTCCTTGTTTGGGAGCACAAGAATCTGAAACCCCTCTGGAGATGCCCGCTGAATTTAAATATCAGCCAGTGTCAATGAGGCACAGACTGATAAAGGACTTATTCATGTAAGTACAAATTCATGACCTGTGATGGTCTGAATAAGAAATGATCCCCCCATGGGAATATTTAAACATTGATCCCCAGCTGGCAGTGTGCTTTGGGAGGTTATAGAACATTTAGGCGGCACAGCATTGCTAGAGGAAGAATGTCACCAGGCAAGGGCTTTGACAGTTTATGGCCTCACCCCACTTCTAGCTCATTCTCTTCCATGCTTGCATTAAGGATGTCATCTCTTAGCTTCCTGCCCCGGCCACCTGTTACCAATCCTCCCCTGTCATTATGAAGGCCCACTCTGAAACCATACGCCCAAATAAATCCTTTCTACAATTGCCAGAACAACAGAGTCCAACACTCTCACCTGAACTCTATAAAAAGGACAACTAACACTGAGACGGTGGTGACCTACCAACTTGTCATCTGACACAGTGGATGTGTCAAGGGGCTGAAAAAAGTCCTCACTGCTTGATGCAGTGCCAATGATTTCTAGTCATCCATCCATCTGCATTGTGTCTTTGGTAAATATCTAGAGCAGGCCAAGTGCTTCTCCTCAAGAGTCCTATGATGTCTAGGTTCTGCCTACCCTGAGCAGTTTCTGTGTTCTCTAATGACTTATCTAACCACCTGCAGTGACCACCCCCTCCCAGGAATGGTATCTTTTTATAGCCCTTCTCTAGTCTACTTATTCTCTCTCTCTCTCTCTCTCTCTCTCTCTCTCTCTCTCTCTCACACACACACACACACACACACACACACACACACACACACACCACATATTATTGTATGCAGTGAATTGTGTAATCTGAGAGTTAATACTAGTAATAGAGTTTGTAATAAAAGGACCTAAGATTGCCAATAGCCGGTTATCAAGGGGAACTGGAATTACTTGGCATTGTAGTTAATGAAACTTATTTTTATTTACAAACTTGTTATTCAATACATGTTGACACTGTGGAAACACTTCATTGTGTCTGTGTTTCTGACAGTTCATTCACAACTAGCTCAAGATATGTTCATCAGTGAAGTATGTCTGCTGAGAACACATGAAGACCTGAGTCAATGCCCAGAAGCCCTGCTAAAGTCTGGGTATGTTAATCTGCGCTAAGTCATCCCAGCAATGGGGAGTGGAGACATGTAGCTCTCTGGAATTCTGATCCTACATCAAAATAAGCAAACAAACAAAAACCAAGGTGGACAGCACCCAAAGTTGATCTCTGACTGCACACATGTATGGATACACATTTGTACAAGGACATTGCTGCACAAAAGAAAACAGAGAAACTTACTCAAAACTGAAATCATTACTTAAAGAATGAGAAGGAAAAATAAAAAAACTTTACAGGGAATTTACTAGTATTCATTCATATGACTAGTATGTCATTCTTATGACAGGGTAATTTGTAAGCTTCTGTAGTCCAATCATAAGGTCTGATTGCAAATGTAAAGAAAGCCATTTCACAGCCTTCACAGTTGCCTATTTACAATAAATAGCAACAGCAACTACTGGAAACAACATCTTGAGGAGTTCAACTGCAGCCCCTTGCCAAAGATAACCAGCTGGGCTGGGTTTATGATTTACATTCCTGCACAGAGGCGCTGAGTAGGGCACCAGATTCTCCCCTAAGTATCCAGCTGCTCCTACCACCTGGCAACTCTGCCCATGGCCTGGGGGAGGGCCTAGGAGGCAAGAGAAGACTAGAGCCAGGGGCTTCAACTATGCTGCTTCCAGGGAAGCCTTCATCCCTGCTGGGTAAGACTTTCCAGGTGTGGCCAGTTGGGGGAGAAGTGGCCCACCTCTCTAAGTTACTCCTCATCTAGACTCTGTAAGGAAGCCCAATAAATTCATTGGTTCTACAGAGTGAACTTTGGCAAAACTGTGCCTCAATTTGTTGTTGGGACCTTGTTGGGGCGGGGTGTAGACATTGCTTTGTTTCTCCTAGGGAAGGAATTTTAACAACAAAAACACTTTAAAAGCCAGAGTTGAAATGTTTCTGGTTATAGTATTAGAAAATTTCTTAGTAACCTAGTAGTTACAAGTCTTTGCTAAACTGTTCCTAATGGAAGAATGTTTGCTCCAAAGATTAAAAGTTTAATTGGATTTCAGGTTGTAATTTCTTTAAAGCCTATATTTAAAGACTATAGTTTTCAAAGAATGATTGCAATCTTAAGATTAACCCTCCAATTTTATAGACCATCTAAAACAATAACTACAAATCACACTGAACCACACTCACCTCTCTTTCAGCTTCTTTCAAAATGGCTTCCTTCTCCTTTACTCGCTGCACAAACATCTGCTTCATCTCCTCTTCCTTCCTCTGACGCTCACCATAGAACTCGTGTCTCTTGGCTTCATAAGTCTCTTGAAGACTAAAAAAGTTATTTGTGTTATTCTTATGTTAGAAAGAAGACATAACAGTTTTGCAAAACTTTATATGCCCCACATCAGGCCTGATTTTATCACATACAATCATTTCTGAGGACCCAGAATATGCCATTGCCTACAGTATCAGATGAAAGGCTTTCAGTGTCACAGCAAATAAAGCATACTAACATTGATTTAAAAATAAGAAGTGAAAAAAAATGTGTCCTTCACAAGTATTCTCCTTTTATCCCAAACATGCCCCTTTTCCAATCTTTGTTAATTGGCATCTAGCTACACACTATAGTAATGAAGTCAAATGACTTATCCACTTTGCTTATCTCTGAGCACCAAGGCAGGGCATCTGTGAAGCTGACATCACCAAAATTCAGTCCTCTTTCCATTTCTGCAGACAGCTTACTATACCTAATATCATGATTCCTGACATTTCTTGCCTTCACCATTGAAATTTTCTTAATGATCTCAGGGCTTTTAGCTCCTCTTATCTCTGTTCTTCTGGTCATTCCCTAGAATTTCCACCCAAACCACAAAGCTCCTTAGATTTTCTCCCTGAGTTACAGTTGCACCATCTGTAGAATAAGATCACATCTCTTTTTTTTTTTAAACCTCTTGAGGTTCTTTGTTTTTTTAATATTTTATTTATTTATTTATTATCTATACAACATTCTGGTTCCATGTATATCTGCACACTAGAAAAGGGCACCAGATCTCATAACGGATGGTTGTGAGTCACCATGTGGTTGCTGGGAATTGAACTCAGGACCTCTGGAAGAGCAGTCAGTGCTCTTAACCTCTGAGCCATCTCTCCAGCCCCAGATCACACCTCTTTTTAACAACAGAAAAAAACAACAACAACAACAACAACAACAACAAAACCCTACAATCTGTCCCATTTTTCCAGATTAATTCTTCAGCTAATGAATCAAGTGAGTCCCTTAGGTTCTGGCTAAACCAAGTAATTCACTGTCCTTAAAACACACCTACATGTTGAGTTTTCACTAGTTTCTGATGTCACTGCCCTCTTCTCAAGCGGATTCTGCTCTATTTCCTCTAGCTCTGGAGGCCAAGTACAAATGCAACTTCCCGTGAAGGCTTTCCCCTCCTCAATGTACTGGTCCTTCCAAAGTACCTACAAGCCATTTATATCCTGTCTCTCCCTCTTTTTTAATAGATCACAAATACTGAAAATAAGCACAAGATCTTTGGTCCTCTTTGTTACCTGTCTATCCAGCAAAGCTATCTAGACACTAGTATCTTCTTAACTGTTTCTTTAGAGACAGGCACTTCTCATAAGTGGAGACAATTCTAACCAAACAAAGACTGTCCTGGAATTCTAGGGATAGCACTATTTCCTTACTTGTAAAATTCCAGAGGTAAAACAATAAACCTTCCAATATATCAAAAATGCTAAGCTCTCCCATTTGAGCTTATTGTGTGAGTACCCTGAGGTTTACCAGAGAATACAAATTCACTTTCCTATTATGTCAGTCAGAAATCTCTACTGCATTTGAGACATTAAATATATATACCTGGATTTTAACTGCTGGTGGGAGTGCTAACTTGTACAGCCACTTTGGAAATCAGTATGGTGACTCCTCAAGAAAATCGGAATCAGTCTACCAAAAGATCCAGCAATTCCACTCCTAGGCATATACCCAAAAGAGGCACATTCATACAACAAGGACAGCTGTTCAGCAAAGTTCATAGCAGCACTATTTGTAATAGTCAGAAACTGGAAGCAGCCTAGATGCCCCTCTACCGAAGAATGGATAGAGAAAATGTGGTACATTTACACAATAGAGTACTACTCAGCAGAAAAAAAACAATGGAATCTTAAAATTTGCAGGAAAATGGATGGAACTAGAAGAAACCATTCTGAGCAAGGTAACACAATCACAAAAAGACAAACATGATATGTACTCACTCATATGTGGATTTTAGACATAGAGTAAGGGATTACCAGCCTACAATCCACACTGCCAGAGAAACTAGTAAACAATGAGGACTCTAAAAGAGACAAACATTGTCCCCTGGAGAAGGGGAAAGGGTCACCATCCCCTGAGCAAATTGAGAACATGGGAAGAGGGGGAAGGGAGCTACGAGAATGAGAAGGGAAGAAAAGGAAGGATGCTGAGGACATGAGGGAGCAGAAAGGTTGAGTCAGGTGTAGATTAGAAAAAAGGATATAAGATATGTAGGATTTTAGTTGGGAGGGTGGTAGGGAAGGAAGGGAGGGAGAAGAGAATTGGGATTGTCATGTTTGTAATTTAAATTTAAAAAATGAAAAAGAATATACCTGGATTTTAAAATTCATACTATTTTTAAATGAATATTTATGGTGAATATTCAATAAATTGAAAGAAAACAGTAAGAAATGCTGCATGATAGCTATCATGAATGAGACTTAAGTTATGCACAGGTCTTCTAAGATCATATCCTAAACATTTGTAAGAACATTTTCATTAAGAACAAAACACGTCATTGAGCAAAATACCCTAAGTACTACATGGCTGCCTCAAACACCAAGAAGGCAACTTACATGTATTAAGCTTTTTGGTTTTTGTGTCTCACTTTAAAGAAGCTCCTAAATGTATTAGCTATTTTGACAAATTTCAGAAACTTCACTCCATTTTGCAGGTAGAATTGATAAGTCTTTTATAACATCTAAATAATAATGTCCTGACTTCTAATGACATTTAAAATAATGTTTTATTACTTTATCTATACACACACCCAGGAAGAAAATAAATGCAACTAGTGAGGAGAAAAGGCCTAAACCTTAATGAATATATGCCACCAGCAAGAGATGTTTCAAACACAGCAGACCTGAAGAACAAGCACTGGCATTCTAATTCCCAGGGGAAGAAACAACAGTTTAGCAAACCTAACTAACACAGTTGCAAAGCTGGAAGCTGGCATGTGAACCAAATCTGACTTCTTTAGAGTGCACACCCAACCACACTAGATCTGTCTGCCTCAGCTAAGATCAGCCAAAGGACAGAGATGTGCTGCTCCTGCATGCTTCCCACAGAACCATACTACTTCTGACTTCCCAGCATATATATCATGGGGCCAACTCTAATTTTAGAGATCTGTAGCATCATTCTAAGGTGCTACAGAAACTCCTAGCAGACCTGAAGGACATGGTATGTACAGTTAGTACTAGGAGATAAACAAACCACTGTTAAATAAACTTGAAAAGTTCCTGTACACTATTCCCATCTCTAGGATCAAATTAGCCTGTTGTCATGAGTATGAAATGGCATTATTTTACATTATCGAAGATCTGGCTAACTTGAAGCAAATAGGGAAAAGGCCAATTCTTAGTTCTTACGTCTTCAAGTCTACAAGCCTTTTCATAGAGATGCTGTTACTTGTACAGTTCAAATAAACATAATGAACTTCCAAGTCTATTAAATGCACAGTTACTCATTTCTTCAGAGTTCCAAAGATAAAATTTCAGTATAATTAAACAGACAGTTAAGAAACTCTACAATACTATATGTATCTTCCTTTCAAAACTATGGGACCTAGCTAGATGGGGCACATATTTGTATTCCACGTGCCTAGGAGACAGAAGGAAAATAATATGCATTTAAGACCAGCCTGGCTATACAGCAAGTTCCAGGTCAGTCTGTACTGCATGGTGAGACCCTATCTCAACAAACTGGGTACAGTATTTGCCTGAGTTTGAGTCATCACAAAACAAGAACTACAGGTCCTAGTACACTTCAGTGACAGTGATTTTGTATGAAGAGTTCATATAAATTAATTGTAAAACCAGCCTAGATGTGATCATTTACAATTATTAAACTTGGGCGTTTAAATTTTCATGAAAGTATATTTCATATAACTTAAATAATATAAAAACATTAAAGTCAGGTGTGGTAAGGACACCTTAAATCCTAGTACTTATTGGGCAGAAATAGGCAGATCTTTGTGGTCTATGCAAAGAGTTCCAGGCCAGCTAGGCTACATAGTGACTTCAAGTCTCAAAAAAAGTACTTATGTATATGTACATACCAGTTTATTAAAACTCTAAGTGTATATTCTATGCTTACACCTCATGACAACAATAGTAGATAAGAGTGTCAACTATGACATAGTATAGCCACTAGAAATAGGAGGAAAATGGAAAACAAACTGAAAATCTGGCAATGAAGAAATAAAGGGCACTCTAACAGGTCCATGTAACATTTCTTTTAGTAGCTAAGTTGACATAATACAGATTTTACATTCCAATCAAATTAAGAAGAATTAAATGGGAAAGAGTCCTCAGAAAACAGAAAGTAACTTCATGAAACTATGAACAATGAGGGCTTTGTATATATTAGGCTACAATGAACTTCTATATCAAGCTCACAAAATGACTAAGTTAACATAAGCAGTAGTTTGCCTCAGTCTAAGAAATACAGAATTTGGTTTAGAGAAATCCCTCCCTTGTTAAGTGGAGCAGCTTAGAAGGACAGAACTTGTCCATACAGTGGGGTCCACTTCCCCTCTCTTGTCCTCTCAGGAACCTCCAGGGCTGCCCTCTCCTTCTGGGCTTTGTTCTGGTTTTTCCACTCTCCTAATTTTCCATAACCTAAGACAACCCCCCTCCATCTCATACTCTGTCTACCTTTCCTTTAGTGAATGTATCACAATTCAAATTTATTGTACAACTAAGAATTTAATTTTGCCATCCCTTGTCTACAAGCTTGTTAACTCCAGGACAGGTGGAATTATACGAAACACCAGCACTTAGCCTAGAGCCTTACAAATAGTAGACACTTGGGCAGAAGGTGTAGCCCAGTGGGTAGTGTCCACATTTAGCATATATAGGAAGTTTCAGTTTATTCAAACCACTTACTGTTTTACCAAGTACTGTTCAATATTTACTACTAAATTATTATCTCAGCTTTACCTTCCTCTTAAATTCCAGACTCATCCTGAATGCTTAATGAGCTTCTTAAATTTAACATTTTCAAAATTTCCTGACCATAACCCCACCACTAACCTTTCTCCCTTTCCTATCTTGCATATGTCAATGACCACCATTTGCCCTGTTTCTTGGGTGGCTGAAGTAACCTTTAATTCATTTTTTCTTGGCATCCCATATTCAAACCAATCTTTCAATAACTCCTTAAAATTGTATATACTAATAAATTTGTTGCCATTCTTGTCCAAGCCTCTATCTTGCTGTGTCTGCTCTTAGCTTAGTATATCCATGTCCACTTCTGGCTGCCCCACCCTATTATCTCATGTTCACACAAGGCCAAATACCTTCTTCACACTCTGCCCCTGGGTACTACAAGGGCAAGGGTACGGCGGCTGTCTACCCACGTGCATACATACCCAGTAGCTATCATGCTGAGCAGATGGATGGCAGATAAACAATAATTACTGGCTGAAGGAACATTTTAAACTGTAGATTCCTAGGCTCCATCCCTGGAAATTCTGACCCTGCATTTCTTAGTCATCTACAGGTGACTGATGATGAATCCACCAGGCAACCCGGATCTCTCTTCTTGGAGATACTTCATAGCTGTCCTGTTTGCTCTCACTTGGGATCTCTGCCTCCTCAGTAAACACAGACCTCTGAATTGTCCCTGAGACTTGGAAGAAATGAGAAGCAAAAACTTCTCTGGGAAACACTAGGGAAGTCAACTTGAAATGGTTAATCTTCAGTAAAGATATAATATGATCAGAAAATCATCAGCTTATCAGAACTATTAGCATACAGCATTAATTTGGTGGAAGGGGTTAAACACATAGAATTCTTAATTTTTTATGTTAGAGAAACTGAAACACTAAAGAAATTTAAAAGTAACTTCATCTATGACTAAGTCTTCCACAAGGTCAACTGAAATCTAAACAATGATTGGATATTCTCTTGTTCCTTCCTATTGTGTTTACTCTGTAACAAGTGTTAACAGCTAAGGTAAAAAAAGAACACCAACAGTAGAGTGGAAAAGGAATCCTCACTCTCATAGAAATTTTTAAAAAGTGTTTATTCTAAGGACAACTGCATATTTACCCTTGCAAAACTGTTCTAGAGTGTTTTATCCAATCAGATTTGATTAAGTACATAAAGAATTAGGATTCTATATATGTGTCTGTTCATTTTTAAAATCCAGGGATATCATAAAACCCCATATAAAGGTACCAAAGAAATTAAAAAATACAAAAGAAAAGTTACCAAAGAAACATTAAATGGTCTAGTCATTGAACAGGTCTTTAGTTCTAAAATTCTTTTTAACTATAAAAAATTTTGAACTCAGACCCCCATAAGGAAAAGGTGTTATATTTTTGACTAAGCTTCTGTTACTCCAAAAGTTCCTTTAAAAAAAAAGAGCAAATAATAAACTTAAGTAATTTAATATGACTTGTACAATAATAATTATGCTTTACTGTTTCTAGGCACCAAAAAAAAAAAAAAAACACAAAAAACAGAAACCCAACAAGCAATAAAAAGTGAGGAGTATCTCAGTTATTCATACACTAAAGTCACATGTTCTAATTACTTAACTTTCTATTCCTTTTCAGGGCCTCACACATGCTAGCACTCTTAACACTGAATACAAGTTCCCAGCCCACCTTTCTGTACTTTCTAGTTTGAGACAAGATGCTACTATATTGCTCAAGTTGGCCCTGAACTGGTTCTATAGTCCGGGCAGACCTTGCACTTGCAAGCTTCATGATACAACTTCCCAAGTCGCTGTATAGACTGTTTTGTTTTGTTTTGTTTTTTCTTTGCTCCTTTAGAGTTGGGCATAATCTTCAGAAGCAAGGAGAATCAGTTATTGGAGAAGTCAAATGAGTCAATTTCTAGATTTCCAAAATACATTCCTATCACTCTGGATACTTAAGACAGGTTGGTCCTTTCTAACTGCCTCTGTCCTGCCTTCCTCTGAAGCCTCCTTACCTGAGTGGCTTGTTTTCTGGGCCCACATCTGAAAAGCCCATTCCCTCCAGTTTGCAGCGCCTGTAAAGCTCGTAGTGCCTCATATGGGTCTGCTCCCGCAGATCCTCCATGTTTGTACAAATAAGCATTTCCCGCAGCTTTACAAAGTCACAGTGATTTTCATTTTCCACTAGCCAGAGAAAAATAAGAAAAGAAAATGCTAGTTTTTAGTTCATGACACAACTAGAGCTTGTCAAGTGAACAAGTAAATGAAACAGAAATGAAATAACAAACAGCAAAATGGGCAGTTGTGATGGCTGCTATCGTTATACGTAAGTAACAAGGAAGAAACTCTTGCATTATACATACCAAATTACAGGTAATGTTAATTAAGTTAAATTAGTTAAATATTGGGCTGGAGAGATGGCTCAGAGGTTAAGAGCACTGACTGCTCTTCCAAAGGTCCTGAGTTCAATCCCCAACAACCACATGGTGGCTCACAACCATCTATAATGAGATTTGGTGCCCTCTTCTGGCCTGCAGACATACATGCAGGCAGAATACTGTATGAATAAAAAATAAATAAATCTAAAAAAAAGAAAAGAAAATTAGCTAAATATTTTCACTAATATACTGTTAGTTTATCAGTCCTATACTCAGGACATCTTACACAGTACTTTAAAAACAGTAAGTAACATGATTTCACTCTGAAGCAGTAAATTCTGCTAAGATCTACAATGATCAAATTATACAACATTACATTTATGAATTTGTATTAAATACTATTCAAAATCAGTAATACATTGGCATGGTCACTCTGTGTTTATAATCACCAAAGTACTATAAATAGACATATTATAGTGGCCAGACTTTAAAATAAAACTTTTTAAATTTGTTTGTTTGAGACAGGCTTCATTGTATGGCATAGATTGGCATCAAACTTGAAATCTCTGACTTTAACCTCCCAAGGAACTAGGACTAGAAGCATACCATACTATTTATTTTACATTTTCATTAATTTAAAAGTTTTCTCAGTGTTTTACATTTATTAAAATTATTACCATCTGAGCATGGTGGCATATTCCTAAAATCCCAGTACTCCAGAGGCAGAGACAAGGATATTGTAATTTTCAAACCAGCTAGCCTACACAGTAAGACCATTTCATAAAACAAAATCAACACCCCAAATGTCAGTCAAAATACAAAAAGAAAAAAAAAGAAAAACTTTGAAGCTAGTGACAGTCAAGTAATACATTTCCATTTAACTGCCTGCCATTAGAATTAAGGCCATATGGGGTGGTACAGGCCTATAATGCCCCTCAAACTCAGAGAAGTTAAGCAGGAAGACATGCGTTCCAGGCCAGCATGGACTACAAAGCAAAGCAGAATCTCAGAACTTCAAAACAGTAAAATAAAAAGCAAGTAAAAAGTAGATGAACTTACTTGTTTACTATAATGCCAGATAAGTGGATTTACCTTTTTAAGCTGGCTTTCTAGTTCCTTTTGAAAATGGTGTGGCAATACTTTGATCAGAAAACAAAATTTTCAAGATGGTTTACTGTGCCCTGTCTTACACAGTAATTCATTTGCATATCATGTTTCACCACTACGTTCAATATAATTCTACTCGAGGACTAGGGATGGAGTTGCACAGAGCATGCCCCAGCCTGCTCGAGCATACTGACTGGATCTAAGTATATGTCTATGCATCTCACCGTGTGAAGGTAACCAGCAGAGGAGACAAGGTATGACACAAGGAGACTAGGAAAGCTCTGTTCACAGACTGAACAAAGCACTATATAGACAATTGCTCTGATTATTAATTAAAGTCCAAATAACCATCACCTCAAACAAAGTGTCAAATTCAGTTTTGAGGTTACCAGGCAACACATACATTTTCTGTGATCATCGATCTTATTTACCTTGTACAATACCCCAAGGATACTGGCGAGCTTTGACCATCTTATTTCCAACTTGTATCTCATCCATACTTCCTACCACAGCAAATGGCAAATGTCCCTGGAAAGGAACCAAACATCAATCTCACCATCTTATACCACAAAATCAGTGACTAAAATATCAATGATGGAAATAGGAGAGAATAATTAAAAAGTGATTCTACTCATCCTGGAATATGTACTAATTATCCTACAAGTTAATTTTGGACACTACAAAGAAAATTACTTAATGTGCATTTCCACATACAAGGCACAATGTTATTTGGAATTTAAAAGAGAAGAAAGAAAAGGAGAAGCAGAAGGAGAATTTTGATACATGTGACACTGTCATCAACATTTCCCCCTTAAAAAACAAAGATGTTTTAGAAACTATACACGTTATATAGTATACAAAATAATATCACATTTACATTTAGTCTATCACATACACTACTAATATAAAATGATGCTAGTGTAGCAAATGCTATAGAAAGCAAGAGATTACTGAGAAGAGGGAGGTGCAATCCAAGCTGGCCTAGGAACATGGGGGTTAGATCCAAGAGTAGGAAAGGCTAGCACAGTAACTTCGATTACCAAGCAGTAGCTCAGCCGGGGGTTAGGAATGCATGAATCTGTCTAATGCTGAGGCCTGAAATGTGGAAGATTCATGTAAAAAGAAATAATGTTTACTATTTAGCAGCTGAATGAAGGTTTCTTAACTGTCCAATAAATTACTAATGAGCATGTAAATAAAATTAGACACAAAGGCAGTTAAAACCAGGAATCAAGATCACCTCATTTACAAGATCAGGATTTTCGAGACTTAGTTTAGGGTTTCCTCTTATCGTAACTGTAATGGTTAATCTTCACTGTCAATGTGACAAGATTTACAACCATCTGTGAGTGTCTCAGAAAGGTTTAATGGAGCAGAGAGACCCACCCATGTGACCAGCTGCTGTCCACCCCTCTGCCAGGACGCCTGGAACATGATGGATTGCGACCTCAAACTACAAGCCAAAATAAACTTAAGTTTCTTTGTCAGAACTTCTGTCATAGAAAAGGGAAAGGAAAGACAAAGAACGGACAGTTATAGAATGTTAGTTAGGCATTTAGCTAGGAGTGCAGCCCTTAAATGGACTACTAACTAAATTTTACAGACAAGTTAACACTCTCCAAACGTTACTGTCACAAAAAGCATGAGCCTCAAACTCACAATCCTTCAAAATACAACAAAGCATTTAAGAAACGTGAAACTTCATGAAAAATACGGAACTCAGTCCTCTTAGTTACACTAAATTAAGCAGGCATGTCATTTGTACAGGTGACACTATAAGGGAGGATGAGGGTCAATACTTCAAGAGTTCTTCCTCCAAACTCAAATGTCTAAAGCATTCCAAGGGAGGCTGCACAGTCCTTTCATGTTTTAAAAACAGGACAGAAAGGAACTGTTCTGAGGTAATTAAATATGGTTCTACTAAAGGTAAACCAGAGTCTTACAATGAATTACTTTATTCAGATGAAAGCAAGAAAAAGGAAAACACTCAATATCTGTTTTTCTACATCAAATATTTATTCTACGGGACTTTTTGACATTTCACCTTATTTGAAGTCTTTTTGGGAAACATAAGTGAAAATATACTCCATGGGTCTCCCTTTATTTATGGGTGGTACATTCCAAACACCCAGTAGATGCCTCAGGGTATGACCTGTGCACAGCCCTATAGACAGTATGCTTTTCTCTACTCAGCATGCCTATGGACATTCATAAATTAGGTACCATAGAGATTAATAACTTATGACCAAATGGGACAATAAGGACTTAATAATACATGACTGTGTCTCTTTAAAAATACTATTGTACTAGAATCACCATTGTTTTTGATGATGTCATTTGGTACAATGCCTGTGATACGATTTCATCATGCTGTTCAGTTTGGCACACAACTGAAAACTTCAATTTTCCATTTTCTATTTCTACAATAATAACTAAAACCTCAGGAAGCTAAGCCTCAGTAAGTGGGGCTACTGTGGCAACAATCTTACTCTGAACACAGCTTTATTTTTACAAACAGAACAGATTATACTCAATGGGGAGCTCACATTCATTGCACCATTGATCTTGGCAGTAGTGTCGTCATCTGTTGGAAACTGATAGATGTGAACACCATTGAGGACCAATTCACTCATGAGCTTCATCTTAAACTTCTGTAATTCGCTTTTAGAAATTGTATCTGCCTTGGCAATTAATGGTATAATGTTCACCTATTAAGAAAGAAAATCCACAGTCTCATCATGGAAAATTTGTTTTTAATCCTGCAGTCATAGTTTTTCCATACAAAAGCCAGTCTCTGACACTACCTTTCTCTGCCCAGGAGTTGGCAAATTATGATCCAGGTTAGTATCTGCTTTTCATAAATCAAGTAAACTGAAACACCACCACATTTATTCATTTAATCTGCTTTTCTGTTACAACAACTGAAGGAATCGTCATGCCGAGCACAGGAGGCTGACACATCTTACTATCTGCCTTTTACAGACAAGTGTGTAGATCTCCCTAACCAAAACAATTACTAGTTGTTACTCTCATGTATGCACATATGTAATATTCTCATACACCCATTCCTATAGATGCTAGGATTCTATAGATGGTAATTTCTAAAAGGGCTCTTGTAAAATTAAATTTGCATGTGTATCTAAGTTTAGAATCTCATTATCTTCTCTCCCCCTCAAAGTATTTTTCAACTCCACACAAGGTAAGTAGAACATAATAAAACTATAAGCAAAAATCGCCTGTTGAATTCACTAACAACTTTTCTTTATAATCTGAGCATTAAAGTAATTAGGTAATTGATCCCCCAACAACACTAAGAGAACAGGTGACATTTCTCTTTTTGCTTTGTCTTTCATCCTTTATTCGCCTCTGTCAGAGTCTAGTCATCAGAGATGGCTGCCTACCTATAGTACTGGAAGTAAATTGCCAGTACCAGCTAAGTGTTCTGATGCAAAGGAATGGCTTCCTCAGCATTGCTTCAGTTCTATCTGCTAGAGAGGAAGAAAGGTGGGTCATGAAGACTACTTTATAAACTTAGTCCTGCATGGGATTAATGTCCAAACAAAAGGTTGATGTCTTCACAAACTGAGTTTTTACCATCATGTTTTTCTACTTGGAACCCAAATCCTCAGGCTAATGAACTAGATACATGTGAAAAGGAAGGATTTTCTGAATAGTGAAAGTAAAAATAAAGCTGTAATTTCTATTCAGTCTTTAAATGTTTTTCTCTTTTGCAATTCTGCACTCAGTATTTGCCTCTCTATTTACTAGCCTTCCACCTACTTCCAAGGAGATAACAATTTTGCCAACTAGCCATGAAGTAGATGGCAGAAAACTCTGCAACAATATGAGGAAACGGGATTCATGTTGCATCTGTCAAAGTACATAAAAGTTTTAGTGCCAAGTCCTTGGTTTCAAGAATCTATACGTAGATATTCAATAACTTATGCCAAAGTTTATAAATTGTAATTGCTTTCCATAAGTGTTAAATAAGTATCAATGTGCACACAAGGAAGGAAATAATGAATGCTGCCAAAGATGGTTATTTGTCACCATCTGAATAAGACAACAGTAACTTTCCATGTCAAACAGCCACGGTTGCCTTTCAGGTTTAAGAGAAGAGGCTAGGGGAACCTTAAGAAGCAGCAGTCAGTCACCTTCACCTCTCCCCAGGACTCTTATGTAAATTAAGAGTTTCTGAAGCCTGCCAAAGGCCTAGTGAGTTACAGCTGCCCCTGCTAGAACAACAACAATGACTAAACATATATACATCCATAACACTGTATATCCATGGACAAAATTAAATAATCGGGGCTTGTCTTAAGTTCTCTTTTTAAAGTTGCTCAAGAAATATTACACAATTCATTATCTCATTTGCTACAGAAAGCTAAAGGCAGGACTGTGATGAAGGAGACCCAATTTCAGAATTTGCCCCATCACTTGAATAAAACAGAAGAAGACAGACCCAATCTTCACATGTGACTAATGCTGACAAGCTTTTACTGCCACCAGAAATCATTTCATTTCAAAGTTTTTGGTAATGTGTAATGCATGTAACTCCAAGAGGTAAGGGGTTGGGCTGCTGAACAGCCCTCATGGCATCTTCTGAAAACCTATTAACACAAACTGCTCCTGGCAGAGCTAAAGTAGCTGCACGGCCAGTGTAGAACATTCTAAATAAGATTTTTGCTATTAATAAAAAATAAACAGAATGAGTTACATAGTTGTTTCCTATGTACAAAGGTAACTATTTTGCAATACATGCCACATATCTTAATGTGAGCTCATTGACAACCCCCCCCCCATGTCAGTGAAAACATGAAAGCCTGATAAGTTCGATCAGTGCTGCAACAAGCTGGTAGGTGGCCAGGCAGCAGGTGAGCTAGACAATGACCCAATTCTTCTCTATTATTTATTTGATTTTACAAATGTATTAAAGTGCTAAGAATTAAACCTAGCCTTGCACATGCTAGCAAAGTACCTATCAGTGAAATATGGCATTATTAGTTTTTACCTTTTTTAGATAAAATACTAATATTAGGGTTTTCTTGAGACGAGATCTCACTTTATTGTCCAGGCTGGCTTCAAACTCCTGGTCTGAAGCAATTCCCTTGTATCAGCCTTCCCAAGCAGCTGAGATTGCAGATATACCACCACACCCCAGCTTCTACTGCCTATTTCACAATAGAAAGCCCAGCGGGCCATGGCTACAACCTTCTTATACATACAAAAAAAAAGTACTTAATCTACAAGGAAGTTTACAATTTGAAATAAAAAATAATAATGTATTTAAAATCATCAAACCTAAAGATTAGGTAGTATGTGATTACAGACTACAATAAAACAATTCTCTGTCTGTGACATACAATTATATTCTGGCTACATAGAAGAAAGGTAAAACATATTTACATGCCTATGTATTGTGCATACTGAATGCATAATTTAACAGGGACTATATATACATCATCTCATTTAGTTCTTACAAGGTAATGATAATAGCTATTGTTCACAGGGAATGTCTTCTTGCTAAACCCTTTATATGTGGATTAATTAATTTTCACATCTACACTTCAAGGCAGGGCTTCACCTGCTTTGTATATTAGGCAGTGAGGAAGCTGAGGCATGGAGCACTAAAGGCACTTGCACAGGTGAAACAGCTAATAAGTGATACAACCAACATTAAAGTCACTCCCACTGATAACAAATTCTATGATCTTTATAATACTGTATCATACTCTTTTGTATAACACAAAATTTTACTTTTTATTTTACTCCCTTAAAAAGCAGACTTGTATATGAATAGATTTCCTTGGGATTAGGGCAGAAACTAGTCTTTTTTTCAACTTTTAAATAAATATAAAAATCTTCCATGACTTAATTTATGGAGCTGTTTATCTAACCTCCTAAATTTATAAATAGCTACTTGCTTCAGAAATTCAGGAACAAATTTTTTTGGTATGTTCCAAATGAAAACATATTTCACTGAGATGAAATATTTTGCTTTATGATCTTTGCCAAAGAAGTTATTCCTTTCACTTATATCTGAAATAAAATTGTGTCAAATAATTCTATATGAAAATTTACAGAACAATTACAACAAATGTAATCACTAAAAAGAGAACTTGTTTAGTATTTGTATCTTAATTTCCAGATTGAATTTCCCTAGGAAAAAATATTTTAAAGATATACAGAATAAAAGCTACAAAGTATGTGCACATTATCATAAAAATACTTTAATATTTCAAGTACACTAAAAATTGAGAAGTTGGTTGCTTCCCTAATCCACCTTGCTGTCCAGGCTCTTCATGGTTAAGAGGTCAAGTGTCCTTAGAGAATGGCCTGTTGGAGCAATGAAGTAGAGGCACACATGGATACGAGAGTCATGGTAGTTAAAAAGAGCACGCTTGATCTTCAATTCTTCTTGGAGATAGGCTTCAAATTGATCATCTATGTAATTAATTATTGGTTGGTAGCTGAAAAAATAAGTATTTAAATATTTAATATAACATATCCATGCTATCTTACTAAGGAACTTATACAGTTAATCAAGTCTGAGATCTGTATCTTTCATTAATATCAGTTAATATCTACACGAACCAAACAGGTAACTACAGCACTAACACATAATATGTATAATATACACACATGAAGGTAATTCTGCCAAAACATTAGGATAATCTAGCCCAGTGGTTCTCAACCTTCCTAATGGAGACCCTTTAATACAGTTACTCATGTTGTGATGACCCCCAACTATAAATTTATTTCATTGCTACTTCTAAGTGTAATTTTGCTACTATTATGAATTGTGATATGGATAACTGATATGCATGATATCTGATATGACTCCAAAGGGGTCACAACCCACAGATTAAAAACCACTGATCTAGTTAAAACTAGTATTAAATTCAATAAGATTCCGTTCTACATCCATTCACATACTAGGTTCAGTTCTTTTAACACTTTTACCAACTGCCCCAAGCATTTGGGAATTTAATATACAATTAAAGTGATGCATAGCATGTTGTTTAATTGGTTGAGAAAAGGAAGATACCAACTAAAATATATAGGTCAAAGTGACTGCCTTCCTGTTTTCAGACACGAAAAGCTTAACCTACAAAAGAGGAAAGGCCATTATCAACTGAAAATATCTAACTGGTAATGCTGGCATGGTATTATTTTTCAGTTAATTAGAAACAGGCCAATTACAGCTTTGCTCCATTTCGTGGCCAGATAATCCCCATATGCCCTCTAGTCTATTATTCATCCTTTGAAATAAAAATCATATCACTGTACTCGAAAAATAGTGTACTTAATCTCTGCTCATGATGAGTTTAACTTCCCACTTCATTTTGATATGCTAAACCATTGCTTATGCAGCTTATTTGTATGTGTTCATGTGTGCAGGTGCATGTGTGTGCCCCTGTGTATGGAACCAGAGGATGCCCTCAGGAGCCAGCTGCCTTGTTTATTGAAACAGGGCATCTCATTGACTTGGGGTTTACAGATTGTGCGCAGCTGGCTGGCCAGCAAGCCCCAAGAATCCTCAGTCTCCAACTCCCTGACACTGAAATACAAGCATGTGCCACTATGACTACTTTATTATTTTTTTAATATGGGTTCTGGAGAGCAGACTCAGGTCATCATATTTAAGCACTTTACTGACTGGGCTATCTCCCCAACCCTTCTACCTTTCTCCGTTAACTAACTTCATTAAATAATCCAGGCCCATAAATAAAACAACAGCAAGTCAAACATTATCAAGATTTACAGAATAAAATCTACCATGGAAACACATATCTATCATGAAGATATTTTAATAGTTCAAAAACAGTCAGTTAGCTCCTTGCTGCCTGGGCTCTGGATACTCCACGGACATCTTTGTAATCCTACAGAAGAGCAGAGAAAGTAACCTTATAAACACATTGGAACTGAACTCTTTTTTGTAATTGTCTGATAATTCTAGTCCTTGGAAACCAGAACCTAAAATACAGAATAGTGTATTCCCCCACTATAGACAGCAGACAGTTGGAAGAGAAAGCCAGCATCTTCCTAATTCTGTTTTCTTTAAGAGTTAGCTTAATACCTTGAACATTGTAAGAACTGAGTTCATCATCAGAATGGTTACTATCAAGACCAAGAAAGGTTCCTTAGTGTACTGGTCTAAATATAACTCGGTAATCTTCCCTCCAAAAAAAAAAAAAAAAAAAAAAAAAAAAAAAAAAAAAAAACTGAATAGTAAAAATCTTTAAGTACATATTTGACATAAAAATTTCAAAGAAACATTTATTAATGACATAAATAGGTCAATAATGACTTATTATATAGCCTAAATAATCATAAATGTTCATGTAGATGACTGTCTTAAGATTTTTCAAAAATAAAATCATAGATACTGTTAGTTAAATGAACAGTGATTCTTCCATAGTAATTTATCCTGTTTCTAATTCCAGTAAATATAAAACGCCATTTCAATGAGAATACAGTGACTTATCATTAAATACACATCCTTAAAAATACCAAATAGCTCAACAGGTGTTAAGAAAGCAAGGCCAAAACTGAAGAGGAAAGGGAAAACTAGAAAGTTAAGCAGGTATGAACTGACATTGCCAGAAAAAGCCACATTCTACAAGGCTGCATGACTGATTAGCTGAACTGTTAAAGTTCCAGAATCTAATTATCTTGGACTATTTTTAGACTCTCTAACTATCCATTTATTGCTTGCCTGTCTGTCTGTCTGTACACCCTATCATCCTCAGGATGATCAAGTCTTAAGGTAAGTCTGAAGGCCAAGAATGTAAACAGAGCAACTGAGGTTTTCAGCTGATTTCACTCATTTACTGAAACCAACTTAATTGATATTTCCACTAAGTATCTGAAAAATGTTTTGATTTGTGACTTTTATCTGTTCCTACAAAAACTTCAAACTGCTGGCCACATGGGAATATGTTATTTTGGACAAACTGAATCCGCATTTTAGGACCAAAGCCACTCACTCACCTTTGGCTCCAAAATAAACTATCCATCATTCACTCTGAGGTGAGAACTGTTTTTGCATCAACAGTTTAGGACACTCAATATGCCAAAGCATGGTCCATACTCACTGGAGGAGTCACCTGGATCAGGTGTCAGAGCCCCTCATGCCAGCTGTCTGGGACTGCCTCCTCAGATGTATATTCTTTCTGGGGCTCAGATATCCCTCGGTTTGGTCAACCGTCCACCGTTTTGTTCTGAGCTGGGTGTCAGGGAACTGTTTATTTAGGTATCTTTTATGATGTTTCAGAACATTTAGTTTATTTTTGATTGTTTGCAGAATGTTCAGTTTATCTGATAACATTCAGTCTGTTCTCCTTGCACTCCTCAAGCATTTAATTCAAGGAGAGAGGAAATATTTGGAGCAAAACAGCCTTTTGGTAATCCAGTTGGCAATATGCTTGGGAATTTGTGTTGATCTTGCAAGTATTTGAAGAATAATGAGAAAACCTAAGTAAAGATAACTTCTCATTACTCTAAATGGGAAACATTTAATGTTTCACACTGTTTTGAATTTTTCCTCACGCTAAAGTCAAGTCCTAGGAATAGAGTTAAAGGTCACAAATGGACAGCTTACTGTAGCTGAAAATTTAAAGCATCTAAAGAATGAAAACAAGATAAAATCAGTAAGTTTTAGAAACTGTATCTACATTAAAGGAGATGAGGAAGGTAATGTGATGATTGCCAGTTACAAAAGAGGATATAACTGTTTTTCTAGTTCTGATTCTGGCATGCATTTTTTGTTTGTTTGGGTGGTAGATAAGTGCATAAAATATATTGATTCTAAAAGCACAAATTTTAATGTGCAGCTCCATAGCTTCCATTCCAAATGCCTGCACTAACTATACAGAAATTCACTAAGCTGTAAAGATTTTTGGTCTAGTTAATTTTGGTGTGTAATTTTTCATTTATCACAAAGTACTTTTAATAATAAAGTTATATTTAAAAAAAAAAAAGAATACTGTCCTAGTTTGCTTTCTGTTGCTATGAATTACACCATGGCCAACAGCAACTTGGGGAAGAAAGGGTTCCTTTCATCTTATACATTCATGTCATAGTCTATCATCCAGAGAAGGCAAGGCAGGAACTGAAGATGAGACCATGAAGGAATGCTGTTTATTGGCTTGCTTCCTGTGGCTTGCACAGTCACCCTTCCTCTGCAACCCAGGCTCACCTAACTAGGAATGGCACTGTCCACAGTGCACAGAGCCCTCCCACATCAATTATTAATCAAGAAAATAGTCCTACAGGCCAATCTGGTGGAGGCAATTCCTCAGTTGAAGTTCCCTCTTCCCAAGAGCTGTATCAATTTGACAAAAAACAGGAGTAATCAAAAAACATGAATTAATAACAAAAGTTTAGAGACGGCATCAGAACTAAAGTAAATTCTGAGAAACCTAACTATGCCCAACCGATTCTTCTCCTTAGACCATGATTGTCCCTCCTTTAACTCCAAGCAAAGTAAAATTAATTATCAAAGGAAAAGATTATAAGGCCCACTTAAGGATTGAAATCTAGTGGGGAGAGCTATTTCATACTATATTTAAAACTCCAAATTATAAAAAGCAATTTTCTGTTGATGGTAATCTAATTCTACATAACAAACTTCACCTTTGATCTTTTTCCTTTCACTGGGCCTTTCTTTGTATCTTAATAACACAGAGATGTAAACTTTCTACTCTGTTTTACAGAGAAAGACATTGGTTGGGTTATACTTGGTCATAAGTTGTTCTCATGTGACTCAAAACTAACTCTGTCCCCAAAATTCCTAAGAGTAACTAAATAAAAAAATTTGTGGCTACTTCAATTTACATGAAAGAAAACATACTAAGCACTAAAATTACTATGCTTGCTATGCCCAACTTAAGATATGTTGCTCCTACTTTTGCCTCTTTAAAAAAAAAATAGGGTTTTTCAAGAAACCTAAGCTTAGCTAAGCCTATATAATATACAGTTTTTAAAATGTAATACTAGAGGAAAAAACACCATTTCAAAACCTGCTTATAAGAGCATCCATGCTTTTTATCATAAATATAACCTTTAAGTATACTTAGAACAATTAACATCTGTATGCTTTAAGTTTTAAAGAAAGGTAAACTACTTATTAAAAGATTAACACTTTTACTTCAAGTAAAATATGCTACACTTTAATGCTGCTTTTGTTGCCCTGAAGAAACAAATGAAAGACACACTTTCATAAAGGCACATTCAACATGTCTATTATAACAAGACTTATATCTTTAACCAATAGTTGACTTATAATTGATTAAAAAACCCACAGGACTGTTAACACACTTTGAAGTTATACCTGTATGTATATTTAAGATACAATGTACAAGTCTTCCATGTCCAGATACAGCTTCCTGAGTTTGAGTTTGGAATATAGTTATTTTATTCTTAAAACATGGAGTGGTCTCTTCTAATGTTGCTAAAGAAAGAAAAGGAAAAACTGTCTGGGAAGCAGAGTCATGTATTTTCAATTGTAGCTTAGGAGGAAAGGCAATGTCTTCACCCTAAAATAAAACTTGTCTTAATACAAGAAAGGAAACAAATAAAAAACCCACATACCTCTCTTCTTTATTTATTTGGTCACCAAATCCCACTGTATTTACAATGGTCAGTTTCAAGTGAACATTACTTTCCTGGAGTTGGTATGTCTGAGCTCGAAGTCTAACACATGGGCAAAAATGTGAGGACTCAAGTTCTTCAAAATTAGTGTTAAACAGTGTGTTAATCAGTGTTGACTTTCCAATTCCAGTCTCCCCTGAAAGAAAGAAACAAACAAAGCAGATCTTCACAAGTGCAGCGAGTCCCTGGGACGAGTCACACATCTAAACTCTAGGATGGTTTGAAGGATTCCAACTATTTCAAAGCTAGGCTGCTAATAAAAGAAATCTGGCTAAGGCTGGTCCCAAGTCACCAGAAGAGCAATGACTACACATGCTAAGCTACCCTGACCTCTGAAGAGAGTACTAAAAGTTAAAAAAAAAAAAAAGTTTAAAGTTAAGCAAACAAAACTAGTAGAATTTAAATAAGTCATAAAATCCACAGAGCTATTAATCTTAGACACAAGCATCATCCTGCTTATACAAAGAATGAAGTGAGCACAGGAACATGGATTCTGAAAAACCCAGAGGAGTTACTGGCACTCACCCACACAGAGAATATTAAAACAGAAGCCTTGCTGAATGGATCTATCGACCAGCTGCTCAGGTAAACTTTCAAAACCAACATGGCCACACATAGCCAAGGAACGGATATGTTCTTTTTTCTGAAGAAAAACAAAACAAGCAATTTGATTTCATTATTTTTTACATTGGATCTTTGACTTCATTAATGTAGGATATCGGCACACTTGAAAGGAAATATTAACAAAGCAACCGAAGATTTCACCACTTCTATTTCTCACTGAAGCTAAAAGTGATTCAGTAAATTTGTGAAAATAGAAACCAGTGTTGAACCTCTCAAAACACTCAGTTCTCATTCCGTTTGTATGACAAAAGTCCAGCACAATTTTTAACATTAAAACACGTGACCTCCAAAAACAACAAAACATCCAAGTAAATTATGGCATATTCACTAACAAAAGTGAGGAAATATTGCCATTGACTATGTTTACATATAAATCTTGTGTATTGGGAAAATTCTGTTTGGGGAACAGAGGTATAGATAGTAGCACTTTTACATTCTAAATTACAAGGGTATATTTGTACTTCATGATACAGAAAAGAATCTACAAATATCCATTATAAATAATTCAACACATACACTGCTAACATTCTGAGTGGAACTCTAAACCTAGATAGAGCCTTGAAAGAATGCAAAGCTTAGTAGCTTTGGCGATAAGCAAACTCAAGACATAAAGAGAGAAAGAGACAGCAATGAGGGGAAAATGTAGGAGACAACAGGGAGAAAAGCACCCATATAAGAACCACAGAGACAAGGCTGACTATGTGACCAGAGGGGCAAGACTAAATTTGGAATCATTTGCTGTCTTTGTTGCTTTTCCCCTATTTGTATGAGCTGGAGGGGGGAGATGGAGGGAGAGGAAGAAAAGGAAAAAAAAAAGAGGAAAGACTGCACTCCTGTTCATGATTCTATAAGACCAAATGACTTCTATTATGGAGAGTTGAGATATTGCAAACCAGAACCAAATTATCTTGGTCTATGTTAAGTCCAGCTGAAAGCTATTTGTGCTGACCCTTGTATCTGAACTCATGTCCCAGTGACTATTAAAACCTTATAAGGTCTTCTTAACAGACCACAAGCTGTCACCAGTCCAATAGCTAAGAATGCTAATAGCAGTAAGGATGTTTGAAAAAGCAGCAAGGAATCATATTTTTATTTATGTACGCGCGCGCGCGCGCGCGCGCGTGTGTGTGTGTGTGTGTGTGTGTGTGTGTGTGTGTGTGTGTGTAAATGAAGTTATAAAACTTAGACTGACAATGCTCCCCACAAGAGTCACAGACTATCAAACAAAAAACATAGTACTAGGCATGAGAAACCCCTCTTCTGTTTCTAACAGAATTGTTCTTTATGTGGCACATATAATATGTTATAAATTAAGTTCCTAATAGCTATAACATGATAAAATATTATTAAATATTTGTGTTGATTTTGGTTTGCAAGTACATACTGCTACTTTTTATTAATATACAAATGCTCTGGGTCTAATTTGCCAACAATGCCTCTCTTGTCAGCCTTTCTACCCTTTTTCTGTTGTCAACTTTGGTTTTGTCTTTTCTCTCCTCTCTTGGTCCTTCAGAAAATGTAACCATTTGCTGTTTTGTTCAGTTTTTTTGAAAAAAGTATCTTTTTGTGTTCAAAACTGCAGTTCCAGGGTTTTTCTCCCTTGCTGCTCATAAGATAGTGTTCAAGGTTTTTGCTAAAATGGAACATTCTCTAACTCTTATATTTTAATTAAAAGAAAAAAGGTAAAGGAACACTTTAAAATTCCATGGGCAATGAGGAATAAGTATAAATTAAAACAAAAATTTGGGTACTTAACAATATGTGTACAGATACTACTACTTTGCTATATTCTATCAAATATGTAATTTGGATTCAACTCTTAAGAGAAATGAAATAAACAATAAAAGGTGGACACATTTTAGGAAAAATGGGGAAAATTAATATTTTAGATAAGGATACATTTTTTACAATAAAATACTATTTTTGTCCAAAAAAAAACAAAAAAAGGTGGAACAAAACTGAAAGAGTTTACACCCAAGTTGCCAAGAGTTTTACTAAGCTACATGAGTGCTATGGGACTGAGAAGATGCTTGATGATTAAAGGTTACTAAACTCCCTAAGGTCAACACTCAATAGCATGAGATAAAACAGATACCTGGTTCTGTTTACAACAACAAGGATTTCTTAAATGTCATCTGCTCTTACTAGGCTTTCCCACTGGGTAAAACCCTCCACTTACTGGACTACCCCTGCATTAACAGCAGAAAAAAATTCTATTTAAGAGAATTATTTCTACCTGAGGCATTCCTGCTAAATTACACAATAACTAAAATTATGTAATCATAAGAATATTTTCCTGAACCAATTCTTAAATCTATATATATAATCAACCTGTCATACAAATAGTTTCACTATGCTTACGATCTGTGATTCTACAGACCAATAATTAAACTATTACTACTAACTGTCAAAAATCAGGTAAAGCTTACTTTTCCTTAGCCTAAGACATTTTATTAGTCCTTCTAAATCTAAACTCTACCCTTTGAAAAACATTCTTTATGTCTATATGAAGTAAGTACTAAACAAAATACAGGCTCTGTAAAGGGAGAAACAGGAAAAATGGGGAAGATTTTAACTGGGAAATAAGACAGGGAGGAAATACAAAGGGAGAGAGAGGAAGGATAAATAAAGATGTTTGAAAAAGCCATAGGGAAACATTGTTTTACAAACTTACTTAAAAGTACACGTATGTGTGTGTATGTACACATTCGAACATAACACACACACACACACACACACACACACACACACACACACAGAGAGATCCAGATGATTTCATCAACAAAAATAAGACCCCACAGCCAACACACCCTTCAGTTAGAAAGGAAAGGACTCTACAGGGTATTTCTCTCTTTTTTTTATTTAAATTACAAACAAGATTGAATTACATGACAATCCCAGTTCCCTTCTCCCCTCCTTCCTCCCCTACCACACTCCCAACTAAAATCCTATCTATCATATATCCTTTCTTCTAATCTACATCTGACTCAACTTTTCTGCTCCCTCATGTTCTCTGCATCCTTCCTTTTCTTCCCTTCTCATTCTCGTAGTTCCCTTCCCCCTCTTCCCATGTTCTCAATTTGCTCAGAGGATGGTGACCCTTTCCCTTCTCCAGGGGACAATGTTTGTCACTTTTAGGGTCCTCCTTGTTTATTAGTTTCTCTGGCAGTGTGGATTGTAGGCTGGTAATCCTTTACTCTATGTCTAAAATCCACATATGAGTGAGTACATATCATGTTTGTCTTTTTGTGATTGGGTTACCTTGCTCAGAATGGTTTCTTCTAGTTCCATCCATTTTCCTGCAAATTTCAAGATTCCATTGTTTTTTTTCTGCTGAGTAGTACTCCATTGTGTAAATGTACATTTTCTCTATCCATTCTTCGGTAGAGGGGCATCTAGGCTGCTTCCAGTTTCTGACTATTACAAATAGTGCTGCTATGAACATTGCTGAACAGCTGTCCTTGTTGTATGAATGTGCTTCTTTTGGGTATATGCCTAGGAGTGGAATTGCTGGATCTTGTGGTAGACTGATTCCGATTTTCTTGAGGAGTCACCATACTGATTTCCAAAGTGGCTGTACAAGTTAGCACTCCCACCAGCAGTGGAGGAGTGTTCCTCTTTCTCCACATCCTCTCCAGCATAAACTGTCATTGGTGTTTTTGATTTTTGCCATTCTGACAGGAGTAAGATGGTATCTCAGAGTTGTTTTGATTTGCATTTCCCTGATGGCTAAGGATGTTGAACACTTTCTTATGTGTCTTGCAGCCATTTTAGATTCCTCTATTGAGAATTATCAATTTAGTTTCTACAGGGTATTTCTAACTAGCTTCTGTTCTAGAAAACCAGCAAACAAACTTTTAGATTTGTGTGTCTCACACCAAACTTGTGCTATCTTCTAAGGATACACCAACATGGATTTAAAATAAAACTTAGAAGTCATTTATCCTCAAATACATTAATAACGGAGTACCTCAAGTAACTAAATATGTCTAACTCTCATTTGTGTGTTTTAAAAATCATTTTATACTTATTTGGTTAATTTTAAAATTTATCTCTGAAATACTTCAATTGGTTTGGAATATTCCTAACTCCTACAAATAATACTAATCTTGTTTTTGATAAACCTACAAATGATGATACTGTGTCCTTTCTTCTTTTTTTTTTTTTCTTCCATTTTCAAAACAGAATTTCTCTGTGTAGCCCTGTCTGTCCTGGAACTTGCTCTGTAGACCAGACTGGCCTAGAACTCAGAGATCCACCTGCCTCTGCCTCAGGATAGCTGCAACTAAAGACATGCACAACCACCACCACCCATTTAGGTTTTTGTTCTTGTTGTGTTTTTTTTAATACTATGTCCTTTAATTAATAACATCTTTGTTATGACTGTTTACCCAAAACCCCTACCTTACTTTAAGTATGAAAACTTAAGTTTTCATACTTAAAAAGATTCAATGCATTCACTTTCTCATTATTCATAATAATTTGGATTTTCAAAAATCTAGTTTTTAACTGGAAAAACTTATTTTAGATTCCTCAACTGAAACTACATGGGCAATACTTATCTTTTATTTTTATTTCATGTGCATTGGTGTTTTGCCTGCATGTATGTATATGTATATGGAACTGGAGTTACAGGCAGCTGTGAGCTGCCATGTGGATGCTGGGAAATGAATCCAGGTTCCCTGGAAGAGCAGCCAATGCTCTTAACCCCTGAGCTCATCTCTCTAGCCCCAATACTTATATTTTAAATCTAAACTCTTAAGACAAACATAGTTATTCTCTTTAAGTCAAAAAGTAAATAAATACCTACTGTATTCAAATACCTGAAATACTAAGTTTCTAGTGATAGTGAATTAAATGTTCCAAAAGGTCCTATAACATACTCAAATGTTCGGCAAACCTTAAGTAACTTAAACTCCATCTACACCAGTTAGAGATACCCAAAGATTTGAGTTAACTCTTCTTATCCCAATTATACAGAAGACATCAATCTTTAATAATAACGTAAGCTGATAATTCTTTATTATTTAAGGTGTACCAC